GAGAGAGAGAGAGAGAGAGAGAGAGAGAGAGAGAGAGAGAGAGAGGAGAGAGAGAGAGAGAAGAGAGAGATCTTTTGGTTGGATGGTTGGAATCTGGGTTTAGAGACAGGAGCAGTCTTGTTCATGCATTCGCAGGGAGGAGGCAGTCAAGAAATTCTTGTTCCCAAAGAGAAAAAAGAAGCCAAAAGCCATTGCTTTGAGGACATTTCTGACCAACCGAGGAGGTGACCTGTAGATCTAAGACCAGGGCCATTCCTTCCCACTCCCAGAATCAGAATGAAACTGACTGACGTCCCAAACAACCGTCAGCACTACTTTTATTTCCTTGCCAAAGATAAAAGATGGTTCTAGCTCCAGGCTGCGCCCTCGAATTCGTCTTACACTTAGGATCTGAGTTCAGTTAAAACAATTTATTTTAAAAATATTACTGTCTCGAAAAACCAAAAAAATATTACTTTAAAGAACCGAACACCTCTACAAAGCCACGATATGTTTGGCTATGACTTACCTTGGAAGGGAGTAATTGGTGGGGTCCGAAGAGATGCTTAGGACCTCAGTAAATTTTTACCCTTGAGCACTAGTTACACGGTGTATTCAGTTTGAAATGTCAACCGATTATACTTGTACTTTTATTAAAAGTATTTAAGAGTTGAAAAATCAAGGAACATGTTTCTGTCAACACCTACCCAGTTACTGTTGTCTTACATCATGCCTATGTTTTAAAAACCCTTTCTCCGGGAGCCCAAGAGATGTCTCACCCAGAAAGCACTGGCTGCTCTTTAGAGGGCCCGTGTTCAATTCCCACTACCCATCTGGTGGCTCACAGCCCTTGCGGATCTGACACCCTCATTTTACTTCGTCGGGCACCAGACACATGAATGATGCACAGACATACATACAGACAAAAAACCCCCATAAAATAATAAAATAGGTCAATCTTTGAAAACATTCAACTAGTTTAAAAGAGCACTTTCTCCTTTATAATGTAAAACCCTCTCTGCAGAAATCTGTTTTTTCATCCCAGGGAATGAAGAGGCCATCTGCTGTCAGTATTAGTTACTGCTCGTGAAAAGCAAGGGGAGGCATGGGGACCTGAACTGCCCTACAGCCTTTGGGGTGGGAGAAAGTCACCTGATTGCACTAGGCAACTTGGTGATGTTGGGGCTGCCACTTCAGAAGGGAGGTTACAAACCCCCAGGCCCAAGCTAGGCAACTCTACTTTGCTCTTGCCAATGGTGCCTGGAACTCAAGGTATTGGTAGCACTCCTTCACGGAGCCCTTCTCTCGTGGATCGTGGGTTCTCTTGTCAAGGGGCTTCTCTGGGTAGGAGTCCTCCCTGGGGTACTTTCCAGGGCCCTTTATCTCCTTGGACCCCTGCATCACGAATCTACACCTGTGGGAACCTGCCTTCTTCCTACCCTTTGTATGTTGTAAAGAAGGTTAAAACTGGGGGTGGCTGGATATTCAAGAGCTGTCCCTCAAGAGGCCAGGGATCCTTGTTACTCCTCCTTAAACCCTCCTGGGTGGGCACTGAGCAGGAACAACAAGAGTGCCATCTCTCTTTGCAAGAATCACACCTGGAAATAAATATCAAGCCCTACTACAGAAGGCAAGAGCAGAAAGGGGTGTTCCCAGTCCCTACGGGGTGGCCAGAGGTGGGAGGTTAAGTAGTGGGCACTGCAGACTTTTGATCTTAGGAGTGTCTTCCTCCTCTTCCTGAGACTCAATACTTCTTCCATCCCTTCAAGTCCCCTCCCAGGCTTAAGCTCTGGAAGCCCAGGCCCAGACCCAGGCTCAGCCTGTGTCTTTAGAATGCCTGCATTCTGGCATTTCTTTGAAACAATCGCTTTATTAGGGACAGCCATTCCCCTCAGCCCTGTGGTGGCTACTTCCTGAGTTTTTATGGCCCAGGCTGCCAGCCGCTGGCTAATTGTCCCTGTTTTCCAGCTGTGTCTCTGTACTCTGCCATGGAAACAAAAAAGACTCCAGGTTGGGCACTACTAGGGGAGCAGGTAGGGTTACTCTGCTCTCCCAAGGCCAAGCAACAGGGGAGCCTGAGTTTTATTTGGGGTGCTTGAACCCAGGAAAGGAAACCAGTACTGACAGGAACTGTTTTTCTTCCTTGCAAAACCTGGGTACCCTAGCGGTCATAGCTTGACCGTGGTGGCCGCAGCAGAGTCTGGGCTGTTGGGAGAGGAGAAAGGGGCTGATGAATCCTGTCCTTTGACAAGCTCTTCAGAGTGGAAGTGTTGCTAATCCTCCCGTCCTCCAAGGCTGGGTCTCCCAGAGGGACAGGGTGGTGAGAAAGATTGTGACTTCTGCAGAAGGTGGCAAATGGGAAGGAAGCCTGCTTGTCTTTCTACTGGGACAGTTCTAGTAGGATGGAGGTTTCCTCTGGAAATCCCCTCCAGGATGAAGCAGGGTCTCCAGGTAAGTGCTGACCCACAACTCTGGCATAATACAGAGAAAGGTGGGCAAAGCCTCCCTCCAGGCTCCCTTACTGTTGTGCTGAGACTACTAGAGAAGGGACCACTCTGGGTGTCCCCAGGTGCATTGGAGGTGGCTGCCTTCCACAGACTATTTCATTCACCAGCCCTCCCTCTTGGGAAAGCATGAGCTGACAGGGGAGAGAGTAGGAAGGAAAAAAAAGCCCAGTAAATAAAGCCACAGGAAGACTGTGGGGACAGCCAACCTGGTTATCAAAGGGGTAACTCTTTGTTGCCGACAGTGTAGAGGCCATTCCACATTCCTTCAAGAGGGTCTCTTTTGAGGACACAGGCTGGTGGCCTGAGCAGGGGCTCAGGAGGAGGAGGAGGAGGAGGAGGAGGAGGGAGCTACCGGAAGGGGCGGGCTCCCCCACCCTTAAACCCACAGATCCCTGACCTGGCTCCCTCCCTGCTCAAAGGTCCTGCTGCTGGTCCCAGCTACAGAACCTCACCTCTGTCACACAATTGTAGTTCTTGCCGTTGGAGAGCAGGGTACCCACCTAACACAAAGTAGGCACTCTCTGCCCACCTTAGCATCCTTTCTGAGTTCCCCAAAAACAAAATGGACCTCAGTAATATGACCCACTCATCAAAAACCTGAATCCCCAGGAAGAGCAAGAGAGAGTTTCTGGCCAGTACTCTCAGTTTGTCAGGCAGAGTGTCGTGGGTCAACGTTCTAACACAACTTAATTGGGAGCTTGGGAATCTTTGAGCCAATGGCAATCCACTCACACAAAGAAAGACTCAATAATGCATGAATTAACCCCAACAGCAGCAACCGGCCCTGCGGCAACCCACTCAGCTAACAACTCAGGGAAGGAAGTCAATAGCATCGTCCTTTCTCTAGGGCTTCTCCAGAGTCTGTCACCTGCCCAGCACACTAGGCTACAATGGAGACCCAAGTGTCTATCCAGGGCAGCAAGGAGGTGCTGCAGCTGCTGAGCCGCCAGCAGAAACAGATGTGGTCTCAGCTGGCAAGTGAAGCATGCTGGGTGCCGGTCCTCTCCAGCTAAGGAGAGCTCCCAGAATTCGCAGAGCATTGTGGGCTGGGATGCCCAAGCTTAGGGACCCAGCTGTCTTAAGCCTCTCCTGGAGGAACAGCGGAGCAGCATTCTGATCCAGTGCAGGAGATATCCCTTGTTCTACTGTTCTGCCCAAAGTATATTCCCACAGCCAGAAGGTCTAAGAAAACAAAGCTGTTAAGGAAAGGGGGAAATGTTTGGCTTTAGCACTCTCTTTAGAATGTTTTTGCTCATTGGATGAAAGTTAAATATTAGGAGTGACTTATCTTTCTCCTTTGTTCTAAAATTGGTGCGTAGATGCTTGGAGTGTTGGGCAATTCCTTTGACTTCTGTGTGGCAGATGAGAACAGAAACCCGCCAGAGCTTTTGAAAGGGTAGGATCTGAGGGGTCTCCCAGACTAGGAAACACCAGAGAGAGCTAATCTAAGCTCACAGCAGAGAGCATTCCCAGTGCACTGGCCTTCTGTTAGCCTCTCTTCTCTCACCATTGTCTCAGCCTGGAATGACCTTTGCTTGTCATATGAAAATCTCTTCCAAGGAAAGCCTACTGGGCAAGTTTAATATGGCCAGGGCAGGACGGGGCACAGACAAACCCGTGTCTCTCTCTCAGTTCATATACACTGACAGGCTGCCTTACCTGAAGCTGGGTGGTGGTGGTGGTGGTTATGGTGGGTGATGATGGTGATGGTGCCTGGTGGTGATGGTGGTGGTGATAGCTGTGGGTGGTGGTGATGGTGGTGATGGTTGTGGTGGTGGTGATGGTGGTGGGTGGTGATGATGATGGTGTGGTGGTGGTGGTGATGATGGTGGGTGGTGGTGGTGGTGGTGGGTGATGGTGGGTGGTGGTGGTGGTGGTGGTGGTGGTGGTGGGTGGTGGTGGTGGTGG